CTTCTCGAAGAGCTTCTCGTGTGGAAGGTGCAGGCGATCCAGGGCGCTGTTCCTTTCTGTTCGGGTTTAGTAGGGTTTTGGGTCTAGGGGTTTAGGGTTTAGGGTTTAGGGGTTAGGGGTTTTAGGGTTTAGGTTTTAGGGGCTTCTAAGGCTTAGGGGTTTGGGGGTTGTTGGCAAAGGTGTAAAATGGTTTGGGGTTCAAGGAAGACGGCTCTGCGTTCAGAGTTTAGGGTTTAGGGTTGCGGTGAGGAGTCGCGCCTTGGAGGTTTGGGGGGTTTTGCAAGATCGCAGGGCACGGATGTGGGCGCATGGTATAGCGCTTAATTTCTCAGGGTTCAGAGGTTCGGGGTTCTGGGACTACCCTAAACCCTAAACGTAGACCCTTTACATACTTTTGTCCAGCAACGACAGCTCCTCGTCCTATGGATCCATAGCATGGGGTTCACAGAAACCCGCAAAGGATCAAATGTAACTCTAGTCTCCATTGTGGGTCCTTTGTTGGGTTACCTATAGGACCCTAAATAGCCACTTGGTTAAACCGAAAACGGAGACTAGAGGCTATAGGTAGCCTGCTAGCGGCTCCAACCCTGTCAGCCTATCCTGCACCATTCTTGCAGAATTTGCTTCCATCATCCACGGATAACCTACAGCGTCTAATATGCTGTCAAGTCCCACCGTCAACCCCCTACGCCCTAAACCCCAAAACCCAAAACCCCCCAAACCCAAAGTCTGTCTCTCCACAAGGCGAGAGCGAGATATTCAATTCGACGAAGTCCAATCCCAAGCTTGGACAGGCAGGTGGAAGCTTCATGGAATCTCCTCCTGTAATCAGTGTCAGAGTATAGTTTGAGTTTTTTTGGGGGTATATTGTGCGATAAACCAAGCTAAATATATTAGGAAGTAAGGGCATGCGATAATACGTCAGACCTCCATAAGTCCTCAGGCAGCCCCTCCAGAGTCTTACTGCACATGTGGCCGAGGTCACCTACAACTTTGCGATGTATGGCTTGATACTCCACCCGAAGAAAGACGACGAGCTGGCACACCAGGTGACGTGGCGTAGAGCTGCGGCTTGTAGAACTCCAGCACCTGACTCCGACACCTGATGCCCGAAACCCTCAACATCCCTAATTGCGGGAGCGCGGACATCGCTCCCACCCAAATCATCCCAAACACTGTACTGTTTTGCATGCTGAGTTTTCATGGATGTGCCTTTCCACCCTGCCTAGCGACTTGTTCACAGAATGCCTGACGGAGGCAAAAGAACAGTCGTGCCCCAACTCCGAAGCCTTTTGCCGTTGAAGGTTTTCGAGGAGATGAAGGACGACGGCCGTTTCCACCCGGCTCTGCTCAGGATGCAGCAAGGCGCGGGGTGCAACACGGAAACCTAAAGAGTTCTGATGATTTCGTTGGTTTTTCTAATGCTGTAGCTAGATTGCTTGTGAACAGCTCCCCAAAACCAGCGACGTTCTAGTAGGAGGGCGAATGTGAGAGCGACTCCAGGCGTTTTGAAAAAGGCACTGGCCACCGGGGGTGGTGATGTTTGCTTTTGCTTGATGTTTTATGGCATTGATCTAAAGTCACGTATGGCCTCAAAGCTCGGAGGTTCAGATTGAGCAGTTCGCCTTGAGGCTAAATCGATCGGGGCCAGACGAGTTTAGAATATGAATGTGCATTGGCAGATCAAATGGCTGCTGCAGAACTGCTTCTGATGTGGAGTAAGGTGGTACGGACTGTCGCAACAAAGTCCCCTGTTTGGTGAACGGCCACCTTCTGGAAGCCTGCGGGATCATTGTGGGATAGACAAACGCGGTACGAGACTTGGGGCATTCAAGAGGTGGTTCATGTGGCTTGCGTACGAAAAAGACGGCTGTTGAAGCATGTGCAAGTGCATTGATTTCACTGGTCAATTCTCCATGCTTTATAAACCGGACAAGGAGAGATGTCAACAGCTGTGACTTGAAATAACTTACCGCACGCTGCCCAGAAGGTCGCACGGTGTCTTTCAACATCCGTAGAAGCCGCTGAAGCCCGATAAACCCAAGGAGTTTCAGCGACTCGGGAGTATCAGAATCCACCTTTCGGACCTTACACTCTTCGTTACGGCTCCTTATCAGGATGACTCTGTGCTAAACCCATGGCCCTAGTCTGGTCATTCGGCCCCCTTTGGTAGAGTCTGTTCTCGCCTTCTCCTCCGCGTGAAGTCTGCAGCATACCAAGGCTTGCAAAAGTCTTGTTTGTCAGTATATAGGGTTCAGGCTGTGCTTAGGTCCGAAAGGCTTTAGGGATTGTAGGGTTCAGAGCTTGTAGCGTTGAGGATGGTTTAAGGCTTATAGGATTTAGACGTGTAGGGCTTAGGGTTTAGAGGGTTCCGGCTTCTAGGGTTTAGGGCTTACAGGGTTTAGGGTTTGTTTACCTTAGGGCTTAAGGGTTTAGGAATCGTAAGGTTGTTTAGATTGTAGGTTTTAGGCTTTAGGGTTTATAGGGTTTAGGGTTTAGGTGCAACCCCCTTGCAAGCCTGCAGCAAAAGGTGTAACCCCCTTAACAACACCAAGATGCAGGGACACATGAACACTTCATCGCCCAACGCATCCGAGTCGTGTTGTTCCTGTTCTCTGACGTGGTTGTCCGTATACTACTCTGATAGTGTCTTTGTTGTGATTCTTCGTGGGTTGCAAGTTGCAGGCTTCCTTGATTCCTATTTCGAGCTCAAGGAAGTGGAGGCGACACCCAATCGCTTCAACTTGCTGAAGGCCGAGAGCCCAGCGTGCCAGCGACTCCCAACCAAAGTGATATTGCCTGCAAGGTTTAGAACCTCAATAAAGGTTCTACTCGAAATACTAGCATACTGTAGCACGCTAAATGTAGGCATGACAACTGGCAGGTCTAGTTTTTTGGGTTGACGGTCGTAATGGCTATGTGCTCTCCAACCATTCTTCTGCGGGGTTCAGGCTGTCGGAAGGTCACGTCTTTTCTGGCTTTGCACATTTTGCAATCCATCCCTTCGGCCACCTTCTACGAGGGAACGGTGCACTTTGCCCGAGCTCGAACCCATCAACCGGCGACCCATGCGAGAAGTGTACCAAATGTAAGCCGGGAGAGGAAATTGAAAGCCTCAAGCCGAGCGATCTTAAACCAAGACGTATGCAAGGGCCTGAAGACTTCATCCCAGATCGTAAACGCCTACACACAACGGGTCGTGCCATCGGTGAGCCAGATTCTTCTTAGTGTGTTTGGTTTGGGATTTCTGTGCTTGGGAGGAAATGTGTACTGCCAACGAATTGCCGACATAGGTTTTGGGGCGGAACTGAGATGTCGGAAGATTTATGTCTTTGTCAATTTTCAGGCGTTGATTTTGGACGGATTTTTGACGATGGGTTTCTTCCTGTTTCTTTTCCACGCTTCCAATTACATCCTGCCTATGCGCCAGCAGCTGGTCACAGCCAAACTAGTGTAGCTGGATCATCCATTTGCCGCCATGGGCTACGGCGACGGCAAGGGAGACTTGGAGGGAACTTTTTCGCGAAGCTGCAATTCGACGCACACTCAAAGCCCGAATTAAATGGATTAAGGGTTTACGGACAAGGGCTTGTAGTTTGGACTTTCTAGCGTTATCATAAAGTGCACTGCAAGTTTGATGTTCAGAGTCCGGGGTTTGGAATTGAATCTGTTCAACCCACCCTCTCATTTCAAGGTCCCTGTGCTGCCCATCATCCCACACCCTTGCCCCCTGGAAGCTGCAATTAAGCCCAAGCGCCCCAAGATCTAGATGTCGAGTGAAAACCCCTGGCGCCGAAATCAAAACCCACCCCCAAAACCCGCAATCCTGAAACCAAAGCGGCCCAAAGAAAGAAGCTTCTTCTGCCCAGGAAAGGGGGACTGGAACCCATGGTTCGGCTACAACCCCTGGATGATGTCCATGATGAAGGGAAAGGCACCCGACCTATGGGGGTTTCTGACTTTGGAGCTGTACAGGAACCCGAAATTCCACGCCCGAAACGGAACCGTAAATCCTAAACCCCAAACCCTAACCCTAAACGCTAACCCTAAACCCTAACCCCAACCCGCCTAACCCTCACCCCAGACCTTAAATCCGGAACTTTCGGACTTTGGTCTCCGACTGGTAATACCGGGGTCTGGATAGTATTTCCTGTCCCCACTTGGGCTCCTTTTGAGGGTTCCTTAAAGGGATCTACAAGGGTACTGTAAGGGCTTGTTTTATAGGGGTAGTTCTCTAAATTAGGGTCCCTTTGGGGGTCCTTCTTACAAGGGTGCCATACCATATTGGGGACCCACCACCCATAATACGCTGGGTTATATCCAAAACCCGTTTCTTAAATACTGGGCCCCTGCTTCACGAGATTGGTTGGTTTATCTTAAATACTGGGCCCCTGCTTCATGAGGTTTGTTGGTTTACGGCTCGTTGTTGTGTAGGGGTTTAGGGCGTGGCATAGTTTTGTAGAGCTTCGTCTGAGATCGCTCAGGCAGCAGATACGGTTTGGTTTTGTCTTAGTCTGAGGTTTGAGATGTGACTGCTTTCATGTTTGCACAGTTGACACGGCAGGTTTCAAAACTCGCGTGCAGACAAACTGACGCTGAGTCAAAAAGATCGGGAGAGAGAGACATCTACAGGCCCTAGAGAAATCCGTGTGAAACCTTATGAATGACAATGACCTATGAAACCCTAGCAAATGCAACATAATGCAACCCTATGAGGCCCTGAAAGCCTTCTAAGGTAACCAATGGGAGAACTTTTAAATTGTTGGCTTTATGTATCTGGTCTATCTGAGAAAGTGGTGCCCGGCTATTGAAGAAGGGAATTTGGGTATAGCAGCTCCAAGAGAGACGAGGGCGACGACAAGAGGAAGTAAAAAGCCGGCGCTGTCAGGTTCTGCGCCATCAGGGTGCCACAGGGGAGAACTAAGACCAACTACAAGACCCCATTGTAGTTGACAGGGGCGTCTCTCGTAATCCAGCCTAGTCTTAGATTATCCAAACCCCGAGAGAAAGACAACATGGGCGCGGAATAGAGTAGTTATCATCACCTCTACCGTTCTTTTGTTTATACCCCCCAAAGCCTTGTTCCAACTACCAAGTCCCGTCCAGAAATACTTTCCAGCCTGAGTTGGTGGATGCTGGGAGTCCTATGTACAGCAGGCTTTCTATGAAGGTCCTGCCCAAGGGGAATTTGCGGCGGCTCAAGTTAAGCCCCCTCCAAAATTGAAGCTGTTTCGCTCCATGACTCCCAAGCCTCTAAGCCAAACCTTTAAGAAAGCCTCTCTTCAGCCCAATACATGGATGAAAGGACCCGTGAGCCCCATACTAATTGAATCAGAAAGCCATCGCACAATTGTCAAATTGTGAGTCCTTCTGACCCCAAGCCCTACACGCCTCCCCTTTGACGGCTTTGTCAAAGTCTTCATTAAACACCCCACCTTTTGCGAAGCGACGGCCCTGCTGCCAGGGCAAGGGCAAAGGTGGCCTAAGGAGCTTTGATCAGAAGCTGCGCGCTGGCTGAAGTGTGTTTGCTTTCGAGCAACAATAGTCCCTCTTTTGCCCGCTTTTTAAGGTCCCGTTGTTGAATCTGAATAGTAGGAAAACTGCGGATTAAGGGGCTACTGCGGAACCTCCAAGTTAAACCTTAAGGGGCGCTCGAATTTATTTTGTTTGGGGATTATTGGGATTAGGACTTGGAGGGTGTAGGTATCGCACTTATACAGTGTGGAGTTTTGGAGTTCGGGCTTCAGGGTTTCCGTGTTGACTGTGGCCATTCGGCTTCGAGTTTGGGATTTAGGGCTTTCGGGATTAGGAATATATAGGTTCTGATGATCAGAGCCTAGGTTCAGAAAAGGGTTTGGGTTCTGTCGACCTTGCTTCAGTTTTGCATTTTTTGATTTTGCTGTGCAAACGGTTTTTGGGGGTGTTCTGCCTCGGTTGTTCGGTTTGTGCGGCCGAGCGTTCCTTGCGGACCATGTGGTTGCGACACTTGAGGCCCTCAAGCTATGAAATCCTCTGCACCCTGGTTGAAGAGTCTTGCGCAAGTTTGTAGAAACTATTGGGTGTTTTGTCATCGTGGGAGTTGCAGAAAGCAGTCGACCCTAGACAAGGGGGATCCATAACATAATACATGGGTAGTTCTCTAAAGTAGGGTCCCTCTTTAGGTCCCCAATATAGTACGGCACCCTTATAAATTGGACCCTAAAAGGGACCCTAATTCAGAGAACTACCCACATGGAACAGGCGGAGCCCATAGTTTCCCAATTGCGAGAAGCTTCGCGGTTGCTCAGGAAGGTATGGATTGGTGGCCTCCCAGCCGACAATTGCAGCATCGAGCTGCCCCTAAGCTGCGCCCGCACTTTCGGGTTCCCAGGGTTCTTGTAATTTGTGAAAGCACCGAGGTGCAGAGATCGAGGAAAAATAAAAACACCGACGTTCCGAGTTTGGAGACTGGTAAGAACAAGTACGGACCATACAGTGGCAAGTACGAATCATTGTGCAGGGTCAACATCAGCAGAAAACATCACACCGACAACAGCAGAAGTCGCAACAAAGAAGGTTATCGTCGCAATGAGCGGCTTAGGGTGAGAAGCCTGCATGGGCCGCCGTTTACTTGGAATCTTCATTGTTCAGGCTTTGGGCTGTTGTGCCAAGGTTATCTTAAAGTTGACGGATCTAGTTGAATAGCCGCAATGTAATACAGGCCCTACAAAGGACCCTGAGCAGTTCACGCACAACGCCTCCAGCTAGCCGGTCTCTCTCTCTTGGAGAGTAGCCGGCCCCAATGTGTGGGATCGGATTCTGGTGGGTTATGGTTTAGGGTTAGGCTGTGTAAAACAGGGTCGGAACTGTGTGCAATTAGTTCATCAACATGCTTACGACAAGTTTGGACTAGTGTGCCTTTTCAGTCAAGTTCCTCAGTCGCATGCCCAGAAGCTGGAAGCATTCTCATGAGTACAGCGCCAGCTGGCGGAAGAGTGGCTGACTACCAGGCGTTCTTGCTTGCAAGCCTGCAGCAAAAGGCTGTACTTTGGGATTCAAACTTGGCGGCTGGCATGTACGTGCTTGATATTATGTCCGACTCACCACTTCACGCATGGCTCAGGTACAGGGTCGTTGTTTTGTTTGCTTTGTTGGTGTGGTTTCGGGGTACCCCAAACCCAGAATCTCTCCGCACAAAGCCGTCCTGGACGTGCCCAACTGCACTCTGGCCTTCACATAGCCTCAACCACCCTGCATCTACGAAGATATCTATGCCCGGTTCCTGTCGCATAATTAAGAAGCGTGAGTCGAAGCATGCATACTGGACAAGTTTCCAAAGTAAGTATGTGTCACAGTGCATGCCAAACCCTACCTGGAGTATCCATTGTAGTTCCTTTTTCTGAGAATCCTAAAAGTTAACCCGCAAAAGGAACTACAATGGAGACTATAGGTAGAATTTAAACCAAAAGCCGCCCAAGCCCCCAAGCGCTGCAGTGCGTTCAAGCGCTCGGACTTAAGCCTACGGTGACGTTTTTAAATTATGTGGAGGGCGGCCCAGGCCCAAGGATGACAGAGGTAGTGTAAATGACCTGTTTAAATCCGGAAGTTTAAATATCTACTGCCCTCCTTCACTCCAAGCCCTCCAGCCTTCCAGCCCTCTAGCCTTCCAGCCTTTAAGCCCTGCAGCTTTCCAGCCTTCCGGCCTTCCTTCCAGCCCTCCAGCCCTCAAGCCCCAGCCTGCCAACCTTCCAATTCCAAGCCTCCAGCCCTCCCAGCTCTAGTGCTCCGGCCTTCCAGCTTCCAGCCCTCCAGCCCTGCAGCCTGCCAGCCTCCCAGCCTTCCAGGCCTCCAGCCCTCCAGTCCACCGGTTGGAGGCTGGAGTCTCGGAAGGAATGAAAGCTTGAAGGGAGGGCGGGAAGGCCGGAGGGCCGGCAGTCTGGAAGGCTGGAGTCGGCTGGATGGCTCGAAAGCGGAGGCCTGGAAGATGGGAAGGCTGGAGGGCTGGAGAAGGCTGCAAGGCTGGCGCACCGGAAGGCTGGCAGGTTGGAGGCTGGAACTGGAAGTCTCGGAAAGAATGAAAGCTTGAAGGCTGAAGGGCGGGAAGGTTGGAGGGGCCGGCAGGCTGGAAGGCTGGAAGGTGGGAGGGCTGGAAGGTGGGAAGGCTGGAGGGCCGGAGAAGGCTGCAAGACTGGAGAAGGAAGCACAACTTCCAGATGTTTTAAAGTTGGGCGGCCCGAAGCCACTGCTGTTAGACCTACAAGTAGTGCAAATGATCTGTTTAAGCTGTTTCAATGTCCGGGTGTTTAAAATAGTCGCCGTAGTTCTAAGCCCAAAGACTTGAGGGTTTAGGCTTTAGGGTTTAGGGTTCCGGGTTTAGGGTTTATCAGCACGTTAAACGAGAAGGCCCTGCTGTTGAGGTGTGTTCTCTGGCGCACAATCCAAGCCCATGCTGAAAGGGTTTATCAGCAAGGTGGCCACTCAACTTCAGCAGCCAGATCCAAAGCTTTAGCCCCAAATGCTCACCACAGACAGCGCTGCAGAATGTTTACACTCTGAACCTAAACCCCCAACCCCAAATCTTTAGCCCTTGAAAGTAAACCGAAAGCCCTACTAGACCTTAATTCAAAGCCCAGGAACAAGAGCCCACACCCTGGCCCGAAACAGTAAACCTCAAACCCAAACTACCTAGACCCTGCAGTTTAAGGACATATATAAAGACATCATTCTACGGAACCATAACGAACCCAATCCCTAATAAGGTTTGTTGGGGTCCAGGTAAATCCTATACTCCAAATCCTAAATAAGGTTCCTTAGGGCGCAGATAGACCTTAAGACAAATAAAGAAGCCCAGGAACAAGCGCCTCAAGGAGCACATGTCCTCAGCAGGCGGGCGTTGGCTCACAAAAGAACGTGCTTCTGTTTAACATCTACAGGATTTAGGGTTAGAGGTTTAGTGTTAAGGGTAGATTGTAGGTTTCAGCGCCTATAGGGTCTAGGGGTCCAGGGTTGTTAAATCAGACTTAAGCCTGTGCTCTTTGAAAGCCGCAGGTGGGCTTTGCCTCTACGCCGAGGTGCGAACCCCGGTGCGTCGTGTTTTTTTTGGTTTTCGTTTGTGCGTTGTATGTTTTCTGTTTTCTTCTGAGGACCAACCGGCGGAGGGCTTAGGGTTCACGGTCTCCTTGTGCTTAGGGCTTGGGCCGCTTTTACAACCAAGCCTTGGTTCACAATCCGGAAGGACAGTTGTTTGTCTACCTCCAAAGCTCCGAAAACTGCTAAACGCTACCTGGACCCTGTTAAGGTAAGCATTGTTGCATCGAGGTAGCCATTCTGGCGTAGTTGGACACAGAGACCTCGTCTGGCGCAGTCCGAGTTGCGAGAGCGTAGACCCGAAACCCTGGTTTCCATGTACACGAAGTTCTAGTTGAGGTTATTGGATTTCGGGGCTCTTAAGGTGCCAGAAGACCATTAAACCTTCGGCAAAGCCTGCACGTGGTCAGAAAGAACTCATACCTTTGGCCCGAAAGACCTACCTTTCTCAGGAACTATCCATCTATATATATATATATATACATAGAAACCAGAATAAGGAACGCTACAGGTAGGTTTAAGTGGGTGGGCAGGCGGAGGAGCAGTTAGGCATCATGATCAGCAGTTTCGCTTTGATGTTCAAAGGTAATCCAGAGATTGGTTCTGAGTTGTTCAATCCGAAACCTCCGAATGTGGCACCATGAGGTGGGAAAGAGCGGAAACGCTGGCGCGGCTTTCAAGACCCCCGAGGCAGTCAGGGTTCGGGCTGACTGAATCGTATACTCATGAATACGACTACTCGTCTTAGCATTTAAAGCTCGAGTCTCATGAAATGTTCTGGTTGAGGTGACCGGGTCCCGTATGGTGCAGCCTTTACTCTTATAGCATCCTTTGCTCTGATCATCTTATCTTTTTCGTTTCGGGGATTGCAGTGGGACTTCGTTGTCTATAGGATCTCAATTGAGTGCATAGTCCAGATCTACTCCTATTCCACCTCGCCTGTGAGCATCGTTCTCTGCTATGCGAGAGGGCAAAAATTATCGGAGCCCCTAATTTCAATGGCGTCTTGATGCTCACTTTCAAGACTAGCATGTCGCAAGGGCATGCAATTTACGGGGGCTTAGGTAAACAGCATGGATAGCTCGGGTATGTGATTCGTTGCGGCGGCTTGTCGTGGATTGTGGAAGGTGAAAAGCGCGAGCTGGGTGATGTGCACGGGGCTGTTGAACTTCTTTCGGGTCGTCCCTGAATTCCACCCTGGTGTGCAAATGCGTCAAGATCGGTTCCTCGTTTTTTGAAAACTGCTATATAGCACTTGCTTGGGACTATAGAGGGGGTGCTCGCAGAGTGCGGTTTTCCGAGGCGACTACGTAGCCAAAGTAAGTTGCGAAGCTTAATGCCATATGTATATAAAGTTTGTGTTGATGTAGACATGTATATTGATATATGCGTATTCATGCAATGCGTGCATGCATGGATGTATGGATGGATGGATGTATGTGTGCATGTATTTATGTGTGCATGCTGCACACAGTACATGTATGTGTTTGCAGAACCTATGCTCTAAATCGTAAGCTCTCCAACTTGTGCAAGAAAGACTTACCCCTGCACTGTGCCCTCACAGGCCCTTGGTACTTGGTCCTGCCTCTTTGTCCTCTCTGCAGCCATCCACGAAGAGCCTGTTCACTTTTTTAACCACACCCTAAAAGCCACCCTAGCAGCCCTAGCACATCAGATCTGGCCAGGGACCGACGTATGTAGGTGGGGAAAAACTGGAAGAGGAGAGGGTAGCGAGGGTTGGGGCTGCGGCCATGCGGGTTCTCCAACGCTAAAGCCACGAGGAGGCGGCCGCGGCCATCGCGGCACTAAATGGCTCGGTGTTCGAAGGCATTCAGCTGCAGGCCGCCATGGCGTTTTGGGTGTTGCTTTAGGGTTCTTTATAACTTATAGTAAGGGTCTCTCAACCCTAGTCCCTGGAAGCCGCTGTGTGGGTTGGGGACTCGGGGCTTAGGCATTTGTTGACTTGTTGGGTTTTTGGGGGGTTTGCGGTTTTGGGTTATCACGATGGTTTAGGTTTTTGAATTTCCATTGGCCCCTTAGTTTGGGCGCGGGGTCTGGAGTCCGGGTCTCGGGCTTCCACTCAGCGAGATCGGAAAGGAAGGGGGAGGACTGATATGACAGGAAACAGCAGACCTCCCACTCAACCGAACAATGGCCAGGGGACAGGGTAGCGATGCTCGAAGTGATAATTGTAGTCTGAGGGGCGGAGGGGGCGGGGGGGGGGGGGGCTTTGTTGGGTGTGGACCATCGTATTTGTTTGTTTCCCTGTTATTTTTTCGATCGGAGGGAGGGGGGCGTGTTGCAGGTAAAGGCTGTGACTTCAACGGTTTGAGGTTCAGGTCTTCGGATTTCGAGAGTAAGTTACAGAGTGATTGTAGTGTGCTGGCTTTGTTGGGTTTGGTGGGGTCCCACATTGGGCTTTGAAACCCTGACTACCAGACAGTGCCAGGCAGAGAGAGAGATTACCAGACAATTTCCCCAAAACAAGGGCTCGAAGAACTGGACATCCGAAGTTCCTCCTGAAAAAGGCCTAAGCGCTGAAGGCCCATTTGTGACTCCCAAAGCATATAGCGCCTGCAAGCTTTCAACCCAAAGCCGCCAGTACAATGCCAGTAGTTGAATCGAACAAGAGTTCGCAGGTGCGCTTTCAAGAACTGGGACTCAAATCGTTCAGAACAGCCCTTGGTTCCGACGTATGAGGTTGACCAGTGGACGAAGAAGGAGCCACTGCCGACACCGCCACCCGGGGTGTGAAGGCGTCTACTGCCCTAGGGTCTCGGGGTTTGGGTTTCGGTTGTCCCTAAACCCTAAACCAGATTTCAACGGATTGGGAGCTTCGTGGCTTGGGAGTATTGGTCAAGAAACAGCTGGCCTTCGCCTCTTGTCACCCATCGTCTGTTAGTCTTATCGTGAGTTTGGAAGAGCCTCTTATCTCCTGACCTCATGACCATTGTTCGTGTTGTTCTGAATGCGAGTATCACCATTACCCAGACCCCCGCGAGGACCTAGAAAGTAGCTCCCCTAATTTGGGACCCTAACTACTAAAGGGTACTTTATAGCAACCCCCTTAAGGGATCTACCTTTTGGATCCTCCCGGGGGGGTTGGGTAGTTGCAAGCTCTCCTGAGCCCAGCGACGAATGCGCGCAGGCCGTGCAACTGCTCCGGTTGGAGCAGACTGAGAGGCGGACTCCCAGGGGTCCCAGAGCAGCCATGTGAGGTCGGGGCGGAGGATTAATGTAGGGGCCTTAGTAATTAGAATAGGGTTTTGGGGGCTCGTTATTATATTTATAGTATAATATACACCAAACCCTGTTCTAATTATTAAGGCCCCTATATTAACTGATAAAGTTTCAGCCTGGGGATGCAAGGGTGTACAGGCGGGGCTCTGAAGTGTCATGGGAGTTCAGATTCCATTGGCTTGGACTCTTTCTGGCTGCATGGCTCAAGCCACGGCAAGGGTCTTGGGTTTCAGGCGCATTCGTTTTCGCTTCCAGGGCGGGGGTCTAAAGTCTACGTTTTCTCGTTTCAACGGCCCTAAACCGGAACCGCAGGAACATTCTGCCCTCGATGGGCCGGCTTGGAGGCAACCCACGAATCACAGGGTGAAAGAACAATGTTTGCAATAATATCAATAACAATAGCAAGAATAGTCGCACTCATTACTAATAATATGACTAGCACTACTCATGAGATTCATTATGTAACTCTGCGGCAAATCAAACTGGGACCTTTGAGGTTGAGGAGGTCCTCCGATGATGGACTTTGGGCCCTGGTGCGATGACCATTGCTACCCTATGCAGGGTTTAGGGTTTAGGGTTTAGGGTTTAGGGTATGCAGCTTCAAAGGTTGGAATAGTTCATCAGCAGTGCGGGATTTATGACGGGTTTACTATGCTTTGCGTGTATGTGGACTGTAAGGCTATGCGGGTGTTCTTGCTACACTTCTAGCGGAAAACGGGCAACGGCAAGACCAGGACTCGAGCCGGGAGGTTGTATGTCACAGAACACAGGCAGGAATCCTTTCAAAACGATCCCAAGGGTTTATAGTGCTTCTGTTGAAGCCACCAACCCTAAACCCTAAGCGTATTTTCTGCTATGAGCGTCGAGGATCCTCCTGCCTTCAGAGGGCGAGCATGAATCGGTTTTCTTCCGGGCCACAGTGCTCCGGACCGACCACATCAATTCCTGGCGTATGTGCATTGGCAAAACAGCGATGCACTCTGCATGGGTGGGTATGCCCGGGCTGGTGGAAGCACAGGTCACAGGCTAGGATTTACGATTTAGGGTTCTTCTCCAGGGAAGTTGGCATTGCAGCCTTCAGACGGTCAGACTCTGCAAAAGCACTACTTGAAGTCAGCATAAGCAACTCTTGCAATCAAGGTTCCCTAAGCCCCAAAGCCTAAAGCCTAAATCCCTACACCTTTAACTCTAAACCTTGTTACAGCGGCGCCGAGAGTCCAAGCCCGCACTTCGCAGCAAGGGTCTGCTGCAAGCCGGTATGAGCGCGCATATGCATTCATGGCTGAGGCTATAAGTTTCAGCCTCAGGAGAGTTTCCTAGCTTTTGGTTGTTTAGCGAAACGATCTCGTGAGTTCAGGTCTACTGAAAAAACCGACACGAACTTCCAATCACTTCGTCTGCCAAACATGAGGCACCCCATCGCCAGCAGATTCCAAAGTAGTTTGCAAGCGCGGCTTCGAAGCCGAGTAGTACAAGAGTCTGATATCATGACTATGGCAATGCCAGGCTGCATCCCGAGGTGCCACGATCAGTAGTCAGAAGTCCGAGAAGAGCCAGGGGAAGACAATACACACAAAGCCACATTCCTACACTACAGTTTCGAAAGGCCACAGATCGTGTAATCTTCGATGCTCCCGCCCACAAACCCAAGGCCAACAGAGCGCCCCCCCCCCCCCCCCCCC